TCACGGTAGAAACACGAATGGAACAGAGGAGCTCAAGCAAACGACTTTCGTACAAAGTCTCCCTCTTGTAATTGGAGTAAAAATGCCGACAGGCGTACAGTTTCGTAGACACGTAAAAATCGTGTGTCTACAAACAGATATTGAGAAAGAAGAAGAAAAAATGAAAACATTTATTGCCGATAAAAAAAAATACATACATACATATCTGTCACGCCTGTCTCCCATTAGGGTAGGCAGAAACAACAGAACGCCAAATGCTTCGATTCAAACAAACCTCTTTCGTTTCATCCACATTCATCAATCTTTTCATACACGCTCGCCGGTTACGGGTACTTTTAATTTGGCCCTTCTTCAGCACATCACCTATTTGGTCGACATACGTCCGTCTAGGGCGGCCCCTACCGACATCTCCATTCATTCTTGCTCGATAAATCTCTTTCGTAAATCTTCTTTCATCCATCCCCTCCAAATGGCTAAACCAACGCAACATTCCTTTTTCGATTTTTGTCACTATATCGTCTTTTAGTCCACACTTCTCTCTAATCATACTGTTTCTCACTCTATCTTTTAATGTAATACCACACATACTTCTCAAAGCTCTCATCTCTACAGCATTTATCTTACTTTCATGCTTCTTCTGTCATACCCGAGATTCGTATTCGTAAAAAGTATTACACTTATTAACAATAGAAAACAAACTTCATATTTGTTGTTGCCAACATGGCTATCACTAAGCGTGTGCTGCAGCAAAAAATTACTATATAGTTACATGTAGGATTTTACCACACAAAGAAAGGCATGTGCATTAATAGTGTATTGTATTTAATGTTTGTTATATGTGTTATAATGCAATATGCTGTTGGTGTTCCTTTAAATAAATAAATAAATATGAAAAACAACGGCTTCTATCGTAACAAAATGAATATACGACGAAAACCGCAGTGAAAATACATGAATAAATTGTATTAGAGAAAATTATAGAGCTGTTTTAAGACACATTCTGTTTATATTCGGTCCGCAATAAACGAGTTTTATTATTACTGCAACGCTACGTATGAGTTCCTCGCCCAATTTAAGCCAATTGATAGCTTGGACGCGGTATGATAAAAAATAATCAAGCAGATGTCCGTTATTATATGGTCTTGGCATAAAATGGGGCACCCCTTCCTTCCCCGTGGATGTCGTAATCGGTGATTAAGGGAAGTTTAGGTCAAGGGATGGGCAGGAGCGTCCCTCCTAAAACATCACCAAAACTGGGATTGCTAACCCGCTTGCCAAGCGTGGCTACTACGAACAAAATCCTAATGGTAAACTGTCATAAGAAACAGCGCCGTTTTTGATGACAGCCTATGGGGGAGGTTTAGCAGTGGACAGATAACGACCAGTTCATTACCTCCCGGTCATCATTGCCCGGTTCCTCTTAACACAGGGTATCCAAGTTCAAGGGCCAGGCAATCGTCTCACACTGATTACTATTACGTGGCTGGAATGTTATTCAAACCTACACTGAACTAGTTGGAATTCATTCGGGGTAAAGAAATTGGTTATAATCGGTTTTACCAGCCCCACCGTTACTAATTTACTTTATCTGGTCGACGTTCACCTCCGCACGATGGGGGCTCTGCTACAAACCATGGTTTAAAGCAGTCATTCCCAAAGTGGGCGATGACGTCCTCTTGTAGGCGCTGCAGGCCTAAAGTGGGGGCGGTAAGAGACCAAAAAGGGCGTTGTGTAGAGGCTTGGGGGGTGATTTGTTGATCTTGAAGTAATAGTAGGTTTTAAGTAGGTGAAAAAATGGGGGTGCTAAAAAAATAATTTATTCTCAAAGTGGGCAGTAGACAAAATAAGTTTGGGTACCCCTGGTTTAAAGGATGATAATGAAATGGTTACCATTTACCGCCTGCGTTAACGGTATACGATAGTGGGGTACCAGTGAGGGATAATAGGTGAGGATAAAAAGACAGGTCAAGAACCCATCGCGACGAATACACCTGAAATATAGCATGATAGTTTCTATGGAGAACCGCGGGTGCTAACAATCATAACTAATTATTACTGCCTTGCTCCTTAAACATCATGGTAAATTCCTGATATATCACAATGGGCCAAATGATCCGACTTCATCCTCACCTATCAACCCTCACTGGTGCCCTGAAAGCGTATAGCGATGGCACAGGCGTGATTGCCATTCCATTTTTATGCAATAAAAAAATCGAATACGTCAATTTATCAGTAAAGTATAAGTGAACCCTTATATTTTTATGAAAGCGAGAGAGAGAGAGAGAGAGAGAGAGAGAGAGAGACAAAAGATTGGGCGTAGATCATATTCTATCTCCATAAATACACGGAAAATAAACATAATATAAAAACGGTGACAATCACAGGAATATAGTTACTGGCATATCTGTAGTGACCTCATAAACCCATATTTAAACAATAAAGGAAACTTCTTATCTCGTTTTGTTTACTAATGTTATAATATTAATTAACAAAATTAATTAATTTATTCTTTATTGTACACAAAAAATTACAAACATATCATTTATATTAAATAGAGATGTACAACAGACGAGCTTAACTCTGTAAGAGTTCTCTTCCATCAAGTTGTATATAAACTGAGTAGGTTTCTAATAATGAAATGGCAATCCCGCCTGCGTATACCGATAGGGCACCAGTGAGGAATGATAAGTGAGGACGAAGGCAGGTCAGTTAGCCCATCGTCACAAATCTCACTAGAAGTAGCCACGATGATTTCTAGGGTGAACCACATTGAGGTCGACCTGATAGGGTGTATTGCAAGCAATGGGGCAGTTAGACCTCATTACTAACAATCCCTTTCCTCCTTACCGAGTAGAATTAGCGACAGCACTTTTGATAGTAGACAATATTGGATTTTTTTACTCTTTTTATTTGGGGGGGGGGGGGGGGGGGGGGGGGAGGAAGGGATTATTAGCAATGGAGTTTGACAGCCCCATTGCTAGCAATATGCCCTATCAGGTCGACCTCCTCGTGGTTCCCCCTTGAAACCATCGTGAACAATTCTTGTTGAATTCGTCACGATGGGTTAACTGGCCTGCTTTATCCTCACCTATCATCCTTTACTGGTGCCCCGCTGGTGTATACCAATAGCACGGATAGGGTTACCGTTCCATTGTTACACATAAAAAAAAAAACTCTTTTTATTTATTCACACTTCATTTCACCATTCATAAACTAACAATAATAGCTTTTGGTGATGTTGTAAGACGAACGCTGCTGTACATTCCCCGACCATTAAGTTTCCTTAGTCACTTCTTTTGGAATTCACGGGGAAGAAAATGGTGGCCCATTCTATGCCGAGGCCACACAAACAACACTTTTTTTTTACAACACAGGGGGCAAACGAGCATGCGGCTCACCTGATGGTAAGTGACAACCGCCGCCCATGGTCACCCACAACACCTACGGCATTGCAGGTGTGCTAAATGCATAACCTACACTTAATGGATTACACATGGACACATATAAGTAATAGTAAAATTGTCGAGTGTTTAAAAATTTGAAAGAAATAAACTAATGACCTCCGTGGCGCAGTGGTAGGTTGGTTGGTTTAGCTTGTTTTCCGTAAATGATGTTTGATTCGATTTAGGAAATTAACGTTTCTGAACTGACTCGGCTCTAAGTGTTTCAGATGATCTGAGCATTTTCTTCTAAGGTGAATTTATTAGAAAGTTCGAATAATTTAAAATACTGTACCACAAATAAAATAAAAAAAAAAAAACCTTAAATTGTAACAAAACAAGTTATTTTGATATAAAAACTAAACTAGTCAACCGATTTTGATAAAATTTCTGTGGGACTAATTTAAAAGTTTAGATAAAAAAAAGAATTTTCCAAAATTTTTATAAATGACGTAATTATAAGGAATTATGAATAATAAACGTATAAAAAAATACAATAAAAGAATTGTGAAAGAACATCCTTCTTTTTGAAGTCGATTGTTAATAAACAAAAATCGCACCTTCAAAAAGACGTCTGAAGAATCGCCAACACGTCTGGACAATCCTAGCCGAAAACAAAGGCGAAAAACTGCTGTAAATCTGATATACATCTACTACATTGTAACTCGACCCTTGTTTAATTTATTAAATTATTCCATCCAAGTCTTATTACTTCCACGTAACCCTTTCGCTACCCTAGAGATGGGGACAGGGAACTTAATGAGAGACTTCGTACAATTTAAACTTGTTGTTCCTAGGTATTAATATCTAAAACTCAGCCACCAGAAAGAGACTTCGTACAAAAGACTCTGTATATACAAAATACTTGTGTATCTCTGTGAAATAGTTGTGTTTACATGTTATAACTTAAAATGGCAAACAAGTTAACAGCCCACCTGATGGGAAGTGGTAACCGTCGCCTATTTACATGAGCGTGATGAAAAGTATACTATAACCTGCCCAGGAGTATGAAGAATAATTGTACCAAGTTTCGTTAAAAACCGTCGAATAGTTTTTGTTTCTATAACGAACATACAGACAAAAATTTTACTGATTGCATTATTGGCATCAGTATCGATCTTGGAAATATATTTCATGTACAGAATTGACCTCTCTACAGATTTATTATAAGTATAGATAAAGAATAAATAAATAACCAAGATGTAATATATTCGTCATTAGGCCAATATACATATAGATATTGTACCCATCACTAATTACTACCTTCATAACAGCTATAAAAATGACTGACATACCATACAATTAAATAATTAAGACTCCTCATACAATGTTTTCGGTCAATGGATAGTAAGAACAAGAAGACTAAGGTAAGGACTTAATATATCCCATAATACAGACATAGCTTTAATCACAATTTTACTATATTAGTAATAAAAAATAATAGAAAAATTATATTACTGTTTAGACAAACTAAAGTTTGGTTCAGTTAATTAATTAAAAAAGCTACACATTAATAGCAGTAGTTACGTATAAATAACGCCAAAGAAACCATCAACAAACCGTAATAAAACAATTAAAAATTCATAAATGCAACACACAAAGGGCACATTGTTGTACGTATATGCAGTCACAATAGTTCTTGGTCGACGCTATTATATCACAACACGAGCACGTAACACGAGAAAAATGATCTATAGATCTTACAGATCGATGACAGATGCGCGAGTGCGCGCGCGCAACCGGAGAATGCAACTGGAGTTCGCTTGAGGAAATTGTAAACACGGTGTGGGTAAGGGACGCGTGTATATTGAAAGAACGAGATAGGTAGTGATTTGTTTATGTCGCATCGAAACTGTGTTTATATTATGCGTATAGATTATATAATGTAAGATGTATAGGTACATGTTTAAATGTAAAAATACTGTTGTCTCTGAGAGACACCACAATGAATAATAAATTTTTAAATCATAATCAATTAAAAACATTCACAATTTGCAATATAATATAATGAAATAAAAATTGGTTCACGGTTGACAAAGTTAGGCATAAATAAGTAATGGGAATTGATTACCCACTTGCCAGCAATACAACCTACCAGGTCAACGTCCACGCGGTTCCCTCTGGCAATCACCATATTTAATACCCGGTGTATTAATCACGATGGGCTGACTGACCTGTATTCATCTTTATCTATCATCACTGGTACTCCGCTAGTGTATGCCGATAGCATGATTATTCCATTTTCATGATATTAAAAAAATAATTTTGGAAACAGTTTAAAAGTAGTAATAACAATACCTATTGCTAATGATGTTTACAATATTAAGATTGGCAAACTTGCTTGATTGCAAAACTTTTTTGTTGGATGCTACATTAGTTTTTGTTTGCAAACAGTTATTATAACTTATAATTAATAAATACACTATTAAAATCAATTTCTGAGAAAGTGCTTTCAAGAAAATCTCTCTTTCCACGAAGTTGGTTAAAAATCTACAGAACTGGCAGGAACGGTGATTTATTAATAGCGGGAGCAAACGAGTACAACAAAGTTTTGAACTCGGCAACATGCGAAATGGCATTAAGTATTCACGCTAGTTGACAAGTGCTATGCTAGTTAGACGGTTGACGTTAGTCAATTTATATCTGTTTAAGTAATTAATTGATATTGAATAGAGGCCTCGCTGATTTAACTTGCAATGTCCATAATGACGGGCGTGAAATAGCAACTCAGCGTAATTCTAACTTGAATTTTATTATTTTGACCTATATTCTAGTAATAAAATAAACCATTACTCCTGAAAGTCAGTACTCGGTTAAAGATTACAAAAACTGAGAAATTGTCCGAATTACTATTATTACAAATGTGAAATTTTTTAACTCAAACACGTTTGTTACTCTTTCACGTAAAAACTACTAAACGGATTTGAACAAAATTTAGTGCACAGCTAAAATGCCCTAACTTAGCACAGAGAAACACTATGTACAAAGTCACACGGGCCGAAACCACGGGATACAATTAATAATATATACATGTATAAAAAAACCGTAGATATTTTTAAAGAATTTATTCATTTATTTGTAACCCATAACCTGAACACTATGTAGGCATTAAACCAAATATAATAAACCTGTCCCGTCTGTAGTAATTAATCATTGGTATGTTTGTCATACAGTCACACGAAGTTTATTGAGATGAATCTGCGTCGGAGGAAGTCATCTGATATATGAGATCCATACACTAATATTGGATGTAATCTAACCTACTTCTGCAACGATGCGGATTTCATTACTACTTATCTAACAGAAACTTTATAATTAAAATTTGTTTTCCACAAAAGAAGAATTTCAAATATGACAAAACTAATTGATTTTGATTTAAAAACTAAAGTACTGAATCGATTTTGATAAAATTTCTACGACGGCCTCGTAGAAATTCTGTTCATATTTGTATAAAAAATAAAGATATGAGCGAAAATTACATATAAAAGCTTATTAATACTGTGTTCAGACTACCTATGTGTGCGTTATTTAGGTACTTACCAACTGCTTCAATGACATCATAGGTATATACCACAGTATATTATAGCAGGAATATTGAAATAATTACCTGAAACAATGAAAAATTATTAATAATAATGAATGCCGAAAATTATTAATAATAATGAATCGACCGATTTCAAAAAAGAGGTTCTTAATTTGCTGTATTTTTTTATATTTGTTACCTCATAACTCTGTCAGCTGTAAACAGATTTGGAAAATTATTTTTTTTTTTACCTGAAATTACATAATTATAGATTGATCCCATAGAAATTTAATCAAAATAGTAATATAGTAATATTTATTAATCCCTCTACACTGACACCACAATACATCCGGGCGAAGCCAAGACGTAAAGCTAGTCTAACAATAATTAAAATATACCCAACCCAGAGGGAGACTTTGCACAAAAGTCGATTGCTTGGGTACCTCTGTTCCATTCATGTTTCTACCGTGAAGCAGTTGTGTTTGCATGGCTGTGTTTCGGTTTGAAGGATGGGATATGGCGTGAATTTGAGGAGTTTCCACGAGGAAATGTCCCAGCTCTGTTTCAAATATAGACTAAAACGAGTACTATTGGAGAAACAAAATAAAGGAGAACATAACTATCGGTAGTATGTGATCCTCAATATGATATTTTACTTATGTGTGTATGTATATGTGTATGTATGTGTGTGTGTGTCTGTATGTATGTATATGTATATGTGTGTGTGTATGTATGTGTGTGTAAATATATATTAGTATTTTTTTTAACTAGTATCAAGAAATAATTCTTGTAAAAAGTAATGTACAGTGGTACCCTGCACTTTGGTTGTTTTGTAAGAGAGGGACTGGCTGAAAACCAGCGCTGTGCAGCTGTTCACATTGCGCTGGGACACTCACAGCATCCGCTGAGCCGGTTCCTTTTGCCGGGTGTGGGACACTTTTTGTATATGTCATTTATATTTTATATTGTAAGTTTACTGGCAATAAATGTTTCTATTCTATTCTATTCTAGTTTACTGAGTACAGAGGAATAACACCTGAGTCCTCAGAAATGGCAACGCATGGAGGGTATCATGGGCGAAACAGTTTACTCTGTTATGTCCATGGTACTGCTCATGTCTATAGGCGACGGTTACCGCTTTACATTAGGTGGGCCGTTAGCTTGTTTGCCATTCTAAGTTGTATAAAAAAAAAAAAACCCCAGTCATTTCCAGAAATATTTTGTAAAGGTACATATTACAAAATTCATTATAAAATTTGTTTGATGTTTGAATTTGCTCTTCAAATTGTTCGTTCACAATATTCGCTGGACAAAACTCGAATACTGTTTTACATACATACATATACATATCTGTCACGCCTGTCTCCCATTAGGGTAGGCAGAAACAATGGAACGCCAAATGCTTCGATTCAAACAAACCTCTTTCGCTTCTTCCAAATTCATCAATCTTTTCATACACGCTCGCCAGTTACGGGTACTTTTAATCTGGCCCTTCTTCAGCACGTCGCCTATTTGGTCGACATACGTCCGTCTAGGGCGGCCCCTACCGACATCTCCATTCATTCTTGCTCGATAAATCTCTTTTGTAATTCTTCTTTCATTCATCCTCTCCAAATGACCAAACCAATACTGTTTTATTGGAGATAATATAATTTAGATCACAAATTAGTATTAAATCTGTAGAGGAACAAGTAGACACGAAACTCGATATTTTTTTATCGATTCAGAAATAGGTGTTAAGCCAAAAAGAGTTTTAATACTTTTTAATAAATTCAATTTTCAATTAGTAACTTTTCAGACAATTTATGCGTTGTCTTCATGTTATATAATAACAATTTCTTGAATTTTTGCTTCGATTCAAACAAACCTCTTTCGCTTCATCCACATTTATCTATCTTTTCATACACGCTCACCGGTTACGGGTACTTTCTCTCCGCTCTGCTCCAGCACAGTTAATAAACGTAATAGTTAAAATACATAGGTTTCTTAAGGGTAGGCGACGCGCGCGTAATACCCCTGGTATTGCAGGCGTTCATAGGCTACGGTAACCGCTTAACATCAGGTGGGCCGTATGCTTGTTTGTCACCTCAGTGGTATAAAAAAAAAGGTTAATCCTATTTATGAAGAAAGGAGATAGACACCAAGTATAAAGAAGTATGCAGTGATGAATAAAACCTCTAGCAGCACAGTGAGCCCGCAAAGTTTAGTTGCCAGCCAGTAAGTACGTTTTGCTCAGCTAAAAAATTCATCTCGCGCTACGCCCGAGGCACCCACCCACCCAATTACGGCTGAAGCATTTTAGACTCCTTTGAAAAGCTCTTACAACTGAGTACTGTTCTATTCCATAAAACATAAATTTGATATAATTTTACAATTATTACTTTTTATTATACTAGCTGTTAATTGTCCACTGCTGGTGGTGTTGCCAATAGCTGCCACGCTTGGCAGGCGGGTTGGCAACCGCAGTTAAGTTTTGGTGGCATTTTAAGAAGGAGGCTCCTGGACATCCCTCGACCATAAAGTTCCCTTTTTTTTTAATAGATAAAAATGGAATGGTAACCCCGCCCGCGCTATCAATATACACCAACGAGGCATCAATGAAAGATGATAGGTGAGAATGAATGCAGGTCAATTGGCCCACCATGATGAATTCGACAAGAATTAACCATGATGGTTTCCAGGGGAAACCGCGTGGAGGTCGACCTGAGAGGGTCAATTGCTAGCAACGGAGCTATTAGACCTCATTACTAATAATCCCTTTCCTCCAATAATGTTTCCTTAGCCGCCTCTTAGACACCCATGGTCGCCTATTCTATGCCGGGAGGTTTAGAGTAATTAATACTTTTTTTTAATGTCGACCTTATAGGAGAGTATATTGCTAGCAATGGGGCTGTTAGATCCTCATTGATAAGAATTCCTATCCTTCCTAATTAATACTTTGGGAGTATAAAACACGAGTAGTTTTTACTCGCGAGTTCGTTCGTTCAGGATATGTCGGTTGGCCGGGATAAATAGTATAGCCTATGATAATCAACGACTGATATGATGATGATTAGCAAATCATTATAAAATCATCAATTTTATTGAGTGTTTTACCAGGGAAAGTGATCACTTTTCCTAGAGAAATATTGAGGGCGAAATGACAAGTAATGCTTCCCATACTAGTTTGGTATTTGGACGCCCCAAGTAAATATGGGAGGTTCAACATTTTTTATGACACATACATACAAACACATTAATATTATTACAAAAATCTATAATATACCAAACTTTATCTTTTGTAAAAATCCCTTTCCGACCGCACGCAATTCATTCAAATAAAATATAAAATTTACAAACTCCATTCCCAGTAGATGGAGAACTACGCACGGACATAGATTTAAATAGACGGCGCTAGTACCGCTATATATAAACATTAAAGCAAAAGATATTAAGAATATTGCTTTTTAATAGAGTCTACAAAAAAAAAAAAAAATCTTCAAAATTAAATCACATCAAAAAATTATCCGACTCATGCTTGAATTTATACATAG